AGGCAGACGGGCGCGCGGCGGCCCAAGCACGGGAGAGGCACACGACCGACCCAGGTGCAGGCAATCGGCCCGGCCCAGCGCATGGGCGAGTGTGGCCAGAGGCCCAGGCGGAGGCAGACGACCCAACAGGCATTCGCGTGGCAGCGGCCCATGCGGCCAAGGCAACCCAAACAGCGGGGCGCACACGCGGACATGAGCGGCCCAACAGGCCGGCCCACGCGGCGTGGCCCAGGCACAGGCGTGCACATTTACAGAAAGAACCTTATGTTTTTCTCTATTCAACCCGAGATCCAGAGCACTATTTATATGAGTCTCGTATTTTGCAGTAAGGACCCTGTATAAAATTTTTGCTTGGATTCATACCCTTTTCTACCTTCTCAAAGCAGAGCACGGCACAGAGGCACCGACTGGCGGCGGCAACGACGCATCCAGGCAACAGGCACGGTCCGTGGCGGCACGGCATGGCGGCTGCGGTGATGGCCGAGCACGGAACAAAGGAGGCCATCCGCCGGCCACGGAAAATGGCTCTCCAGCGGCGGAGGTGAAGCAGGGGGGCCCAGGCGGATCAGGCGCGGGTGGACCCGGTTGGCCCCGAGACGGCGCCGTGGAGCTGCGGAATCGGAAACCTAGCACTGCCGTGGAGGCACGCGTGCGCACGCGCGGGGGAGGGGCCAGCACCAGCGGGCGTGAGGCGCGGTGCGGCGGCGCGTGACCACGGCGAGGCGGCCTGGTGACGCGACAACGGCGGGGCGCTTCGCCGGCTCCCGACAACAAGCGGGCCGGCGCAGAGCACGAGACGCTACTACGGCAGGCGCGGTCAGCAGCGACCGTGGGGAGGAAGAGCGCGGACGAGCCGGCTGACAAGGCGTGGCTCCTCGGTGACTCAGGCTTGGCCGACGGCGGGCGCGAGACGCAGAGGTGGAGCGGCGCTGTGGGGAGGAAAAGGAGGGGCGCCGATGCTTCACGGGCCCAGGCGCGCGGGGAAGGTGTCGTGGTGCTGCGGCGGCCGTGAGCGGGGAAAAGGAGGGTGAGCAGGGGAGGGCAACGCTGCGGGTCCCGCACGCTCGCGAGGGGCCGGACCATGGACGGCGTCGGACGGCATGGCCACGGCGAGCAGCAGCCAGAGGGGAGAGCGGAGGCAGAATTGTGCGCGGAGAGGCAGCGCGAGGGAAGCTGTGGACCTGCGCGAGGCAAGCTAGGATGGTGCCATGGATGCTCGCACGCACAGGAGGAAAAAGGAGAATGGCGCAGGCAAGCAGAGGGAGGCGAGGGAAGCAAGGAGTGACCGACGAACACGGCAGCAGAAATAAAAAAAGAAGGGGACAGCATCACGAGGTTTTGGCCAACTTCTACTATGCAGGGACCACGCGGGCTAGCACAATGTGGTCGGCAAGGCAACCCGATTAACCTCCACCAATAATTATTTTACGCAAAAGTTCATGCTTCGCACTAACCTACAGAGACAAAATATTTAAGCACTATGTAATTACTTTGCTCAATATAGTTTGCCAAAAATGATATTTTAAATTTTTAAAATTCGAGAAACTCGCTTCGAAAATTCTACTTAGGCCTAATTCGCGGTGCTAAACAAGATCGTAACACCAGATGTGTTACACACACCAAAGGGGGAGGCCCCACATGTCATAGGGGGGCCCTCAAGTAAAGATGGCAGCAGGCGTGATGCCCGCGGATACTACCTTCTTATGCCCGCGCCCGCCAGCTAAATCTCTTGCCCGCGCCCGCGCCGCGACCCGCCACGGGCAACAAACCACGCCCGCGCCCTCCATCCGCGGGCATGAAATGCACGCGGGCATGCCCGTGTGCCCGCTAGGTTGAGCATATACATAAACCATAGTGCATTATAAGAGATATGAAGATACATATTCACAACAAATCGTGTATATATACATATATTTGCTTGTAGGTCCCACATGTTAGACCTGTGGAGCGGGTCTGGCGGATAAGCGGGCGAGGATAGCAAATTTCTTTGCCCGCGAAGAACTATCCTCTGGATTCAGGATGGTGCCCGCGCCCGTGCCCGTGGACAAGAAGTGGTGCCCATATCCTTGCCCATCGGGTTCCATGCCCGCGGGCATGCGGGCATTCTGTGCCCGTTGCCATCTTTACCCTCAAGTCAGCTGACCTACGAAAGTGACCCATCGACTTACCACCGACTCAAGGATGCCTACATGCATCTTCACTTGATCTCTACCATCAATCTGGTCGGTTTGATCCTATGGTGAAGAAGAAGCATCACGTGAATTGATGGGTCTACGTAGAGCACTATATATAAAAATAGATAAACAGTAACATTCTTATTTGATTCCATAGGCATCCAATGAGTTCCCAAACATAATCTACTATAATTAACCTTAGACAAGTATGGCAAGATAAAAAAAGTGTGGCTACCAAATTAGAAGCCACACTTTATCATACTTAAAGGAATCTTCCAACTTTTTTACTCTATGACAGTGGAGTCCAGAAAAAATCTTGCCTAAGCTTAGTCAATAGTCACCAATCAAATACTTACCAATTTGGTCAAATTTACCTGAGGTGAAGTGTGATAAAACGTGGCTAGCACCCAAATAGTCCTGTATCTCTACCTGCTTCACAAGCAGCAGCGGGACGAAGATGTGCTTAATGGTTTATGGTTGTCGAAAGATACAGCACCAAGCCACTTGTCCAACTTGGACTTTTTTTTTATCACCCAACTTGGACTTTTGGTTGTATACGGAAGCGGAGCAAGGGAGAGTCATCAGTGATGCGGTTGTGCGCGACTGGATGTCACGTGCGTTCGACAGGCGACAGGAGGCGGGCGGGGACCTGGCCAATATCTTTTCCAGTTCCGTGTGATGATTGCTGCTCCTCCGCTCTTTTTAAATTTGATTAAATATATTATATAAAAATATTAATATTTATATTACATAATTAATATCGTTAGATAAATAGTTAAATATGGAGATATAAATGTTGTTAATATTTTCTACTTACCTAATCAAACTTAAGAAATTTTGACCAACATGAATATCATAGCGACATTTATTCAGGGACCGAGGGAGTATTCATATTTTGAATCAGTAAAAAACAAACAAAATAAATTTTGATCGCTAATTTTCCTAATTACATGTCATTTGCTAGAAAAGCAAAATCATCTCAAAAGTTGTTGTAAAAATTATCTTCTAAAAAACACTTTAAACACAAATCCATTAATATAAATTTTGTATCCAAAATTTGTATGTAACTTGAATAATTGTTGGTCCATGTTCGTAAAAAAGAATTACATTTTTCCAATAAAAAATATGATTAGTATTCTGCAAATTAATTTAAGTCCTCGACTCAACCGGAACGCTTCCGTTTTTCTGGATTTTATTCAAGTAAGGGATGTGCTCGTTGACAACAAGGTCCAGTGTAGTCTCTCGGACATACTCATGCTCATAGGAATAGAGTGTGCTTGTGTGTTTATAGGATGTGTGGACACGTATATGCGCAAGTGTGCATATGTAATGTACTGGGTTTAAAAATAATATGGTTGTTATTTTAGGACGAAGAGAATAACAACCACTAGTCGATTAATTTGTCTTTCTGGAATCGAGATTATATATTATTACACTTTTCCTAATGGTCAGATGCTTGAGTTCTAACTTCTCTTCAGGTGATATCGTATCCACACTCCTGCCTTGATTTTTTCTCCGTCAAGCTGAATCTTAGCCTTACATGTTCTTGAGCCAACGGTGAAGATCGTTGCAGAAAGCTGAAATATAGAAAGCTCCTATTTATACAGTCATCAGCAGAAATGCGAGGTTGTTGAGTCTTCCCCAGTAGACGTCCAGCCGTTGAACGCCGCGGAGGATCGGCTCATAGGCCTGCTGCCGCCACCGCCGCCGCCCCTATCTCTCTCGCCAGTCCTCCGGCAGCAGTTGCTACTTGCTAGTCGCACCTCCTCCCCCCGCAGCGTATACTTAGCGCGTACAGCTCGTCAGCAGCCCCCTCGTCGCAGCAAGCAACTCGCCACCGCCCGTGCGTGGGGCCGCGGCTGGTCCCTTGGGCGGCGCCGGCAACTCGTCCCTCGTCGCAGCAACTCGCCACCCGCTGTCTTCGTCCTCAAGGGCGGCGCCGGCAACTCGTCCCTCGTCGCAGCAACTCGCCACCCGCTGTCTTCGTCCTCAAGGGCGGCGCCGGCAACTCGTCCCTTGGGCGCTCGGCCGCCCGCCGCTCCTGTCTTGTCTGCCGGGCGGGCGATGGAGTACGCGGCCACGGTCAGACAAGGGACTTGGGTCCTTGATGGGATAAGGTGAGCGAGGGGCAGTTTAATTTCGTCGTTAACATCACTGCAAATTCGAAATTTCATTTTTGTTATTGGATTTGTATTGTATATTATATGGATGGGTATATGGTGATAAATATGTGTATCAGCTAGCCGCTAGCATATTTAAGTCGAAGCTACTATATGTGTATAAATTCCTCATTTAGGCCTATTGGTTTGTTTTTCTTCGACTTTTCACTTGTACTCTGACTGTTTCCTCTCTCTATCAATATATTTTCCTGGCATATTCCTGCCAGCAGTTTTTTAAAAAAATATTAGAGAAACAAAGCACACTTTTTGCGTCGCCGTCACGTCCTGACGGTTGGATATCGTCTAAATAATATTTTTTTGAGAACACGTCCCTTGACATGTTTTTCATTAAGAGAAGTTTTAATCGTTTACAATGGTTACCGCACCTCCAATGCGAGAAGCGTAGCAGGGGCGGTGACCGTGCACGCGACGCTTAGACAACCACCCAATCATACACTATCACTTTTTCTCTGCTCTTTAATTAATTTGTTTAATTTAACTCCAAGCTAAGCTAGCAATGACTTTAGTCTTTTTGCTCTCTTCTTCTATCAGTCTCATTATCAATTGCATTTGTGTGGGTGAAAAAAAAATCTAAATTTGTTGGTGCGCCTGCACTCTCTGTAGCCCTGCAGCAGCAGCAGCAACGAGGAAGAGGAGAGGCACGGCGATGGCAGGTCGAGGGCATGAGGATTTGAGAAGGGTGGTGGAGATGCTGCGTCTAGATCGCATGGAGGAGCAGTTCCGGCTGCTGCGCGCCAGCACCCTGCTTGCGGAGCTCCGGTCCGCCGTCTCGCTCGTCCAGACCCACGACACGGTCTCCAGCGGGTCCAGCAGCAGCCTGAAGCTCATCTTCTGCGTCCGGTCTCTGGCCGCTCCGTTGCGCGACCTGCTGGAAGCAGTGCTGCAGCACACGGAGGTGGGAGCCCGGGTGCGAAGAGCGGCAGGAGAGGAATGGCGTCAGGTGCCTGCCGTCCTGTACAGGTACCTCGTTTTCCGCTCGGCCACGATTCGGGATCTCCGGCAGTTCCTGCGCAAGTTCAGGTCGTTGGTGACGTACATGCAGCAGGAGCACCACCCTCCTCGCCGCCTAGTCAGATACGGCGGCGGCGACCACGACGGCAGCTCCCTCTCCCTGTACAGCACGGCGGCCCTTGCTCGTAACAGGGATGGCCTCCGAGAGCCAATGGTGGGGAGATCGGAGCTGCTGGAGAAGATGGTTGGCACATTGCTCAGCGACAGGACTGGCTACCGTGCGCTGCTGATGGTGCCCATCGTCGGGGGTCCTGGTGTTGGGAAGACCCGCATCGCCAAGGCCATCCTGGACGATGCCAGGATCAAGCACAGGTTCCCCGTACGCCTCGTGGTGCCAGTCGCGCAGGACTCGTGCCTCGAAAGGATCCTCATGCTCATGGTCTCCCCGGACCGGCGGGCGGACGTCACCTACTCTCTAGAAACTATGGCGAAGCACATTGACCGCAAGCTAAGCGGGGGGAGCTACCTGATTGTTCTGGATGACGTGTGGAGTGACAACGAAGGCAAGTGGCAGGAAATAGGCACCGTGGTGAACACCATGCCTTCCAATGGCGTCCTGGTCCTCACCACCCGGACCCCCGATATCGCATCCAAGCTTGCCACCATGGCAGACATCCCTTATACCATCAAGCCCTTCTACCTGCATCCTCTGGGACAGGAGTTCTCCTCCTCCTTCGTCGACAGATGGATAGCTACTTGCCATGGTGATTGGCATGCTGATGAGCTCGTCAGGAAAATTGGTACCAAGATCGCTGCCAAATGCTGCGGCGTGCCCCTGCTGTTGGACTGTGCACGCAGAGTTTTCTGCCAACCCCTGGATCTGCAATTCTGGCAAGGATTATTTCTCCAGGACGACATAGGCGGCGACAATAGGATTATTCATCCAGACATGTTCCAGCAGGAGCTACCGTTGTGCATTGACCTCCTTCCATCTGACAAGTTCTGGCAGCGATTCCTGGCGCATTATTCTCGTGATGAATTCTTCCCGGATGGAAATGTACTCTTACAGAGTGCTTCTGCTAGCTACCAACATCTCCCAGCTGACCTGCAGAGCTGCTTCTTGTATTGCTCAGTCTTCCCTTCAGACTACGACTTTGATGTCGAAGAGTTGGCGGATCTTTTAGCAGCTGATGGAAACATACCACCTGTTGTAGCGAAAGCCCAACGGAAAGGATTCCTGCAGCAGCTCCTAGACGAGTGCTTCTACCCGATGCATGGACATGAATATGGAGACAAGCATACGTTTAGGATGCACAAGGTGCTGCACATCTTTGCACAAAACATGGATAGGCGATTCAGCTCAATTCTAAGGGTTCACCATGCAAATCAGGTCACTGATCCTAAAGTTGAAGCTCAAAGTACTATTCGACGTAGCTCGTTAATTGTTCACCCTTTGGCTGCATCATTTCCTAGAAGCTTGCTTGCATGCAAAGATTTAAGAGCACTGATACTTCTTCAACAAGGACCAATGTGCCCACCTGACCAGCTGCGATGTGAGATCACTGAGATACCTCAAGAATTTCTACAGTCATTTAAGAGTATGCATACCTTGAGTCTCATAGCTACTAAGATCAGGATTCTACCTGCTAAATTTATTCAGCCCCACCACATGAAATATCTCAACCTTTCACAAACAGATATTGAAAACATCCCCAGTGCAATCTCCAGGTTTCCGTTTCTTCAAACACTCATACTTTCATACTGTGATAAACTCCAAAAACTGCATCCCAACACAACCAAACTGACACTTTTACAGAAGCTGGACCTTGAAGGCTGTTGCAATCTTATTGAACTGCCTCGAGACATGAGTAAAATGAAGAGCCTTGAATATCTAAATGTTACAGAGTGCTCATCGCTCACTCAACTGCCGTGTGGGATGGGCCAACTGAAAAGCCTTCAAATGTTATTGGGTTACATTGTGTCCTACACTGATGGAAGTTCAATGTCAGAGTTGCAACCATTGGCAAACCTCCATAGGTTAAGTCTGCAAAGCTTAGAAAAGGTTTCAGATCTTTTTGATGTAAGGGATGCAATGCTGCAAAACAAAACAAAGCTCGAGTCGTTTTCAATCCGGTGGAATATGGATGGCACAAATAACACTACACTAGCTTATGCAGTACTTGAATCTCTCCGACCTCACCGATGTCTTAAAGCACTGGAGATCGTTGCGTATGAAGGGAACTATCTTCCATCCTGGATGACAAGCACTGAACCATATCTCGAGTTCCTTGTGGAGGTGAAGCTAATTAATTTGAGGTCATGTGAAACACTATTGCCTTCACTGGGATTACTACCATGTCTGAAGATTGCTGAGATAAGTGGAGCTGAAACTGTCTGCAGTGTCAGTGCAAATATCTATGGCCACAGAGGCGCATTTCGTTCGTTGGAGAAACTAACTTTCTCTTATATGCATAACCTTGAAGTCTGGGAGCAGGCGCAGTGGTCAGGTATGTTTCCACGTCTTGCAGAATTGGCAATCATCCAATGCCCCAAAATGAGAGCATTGCACATGGAGCTCCCATCACTTGAAAAGTTGATCCTTTGGATGAACAACAAGGTGCTGTATAACCAGAAAGGAACCTTGCAAGGTGTGGCTAAGACCCTGGAGCACATATCGATTTCCTTCGGCGAAGAGCTGCTAGCTTCTTCGGGCTGCGAGGCCCTGCAGGATCTTGATGAGCTCACAAAGCTGGAGATATGTGGGTGTGAAGAGCTGACGTGTCTTCGACAGGGTTTGCAGCGTCTTTCATCCATGAGAAGCTTGACGATTGACAACTGCAGAAGACTGGAGGCATTACCAGATTGGCTGGAGAACCTACCTTCTCTTCAAATCATACGCTTGTCAGGCTGTCCTCTGTTGCATTACATTCCTAGAGGGTTGCAACAACGTCCTGGTGTCATTATATATGTTGAGGACTGCCCCAATTTAATACAAGATCATCTTCCCAATTTCTCAGCACAATCATCAGGTACCTCAACTTTTAGTTATTATATATGTACATATAAAGATAGTAATTCCGTTAGGATGTTTAATTTAGCGATTTCGATGGCAGTTGTTAACTTGTTATTATCTTAACTGTCTAAAAAAAGCTGAAATTTTTTGTTGTCTAAATATCAATACTCACTCATCTTATGATGTTTACAGTTGAATTTGGTTGACCACATTGACAACTGTATTCACACACCTCCCTGAAAAAAAAACAGCATGCCGCTTCTATTTTATAGCTTCCTAGCTCATTTGTTATGTCTGCACTTGGGCCATCCAATTTGAGGTGCCTTAAACTTCTTCGTTGCAGGAGAACCTGTTGGTGCTCGAGTCAACAAGGGGAAAGAAATCGTCCAAGATTAGTAGTTCTGGCAATGCTTTTTTTGGGGGCGCACTGCAAGAATGAGATATGGAGTTACTGGGTGGGTTATGTTCTGTGCTGATATTCTGTTGATGCTGGAATGGCCACTTAGGGACTGTTTTCCTGCTGTCCAGTGGAATCTGGATTCGTTGAAGCCGTGAGTTTGTAGAGCTCCACTCTCAGTTTTTTAGAAGCACGTTCCGTATCCCTATCAAACGCTTAAAATGGAAATAGATTTTGGTGGAAAGTTGATAAGAACCACTTCTTCATTTAGACACTGAGCTGGGAGCTAAAAACCCTTCTCCCCATTGCTCCTCGTTCAATCACCATCAGAATCGCTTCGGATTCAACTCTCACATGCTCTCCAATTAGAATCACCCAATCGGAGAATAAGAAGTGAAAATTAAGAATAAGGAAGGAGAGCTCTACCAAATTGACCCTACAGTCACAATTTTAAGGAAAGATACTACAATTTTCATTACAAAATAGAGTTTTTAAAATATTAAATAAGAGTAAAAGAAAAATATGCGTCCCTACAGTCACAATTTTAAAGAAAGATGCTACAATTTCCATTACAAAATGGAGTTTAAAAAAATATTAAATAAAGAGTAAGAAAAAATATGCCCCTACAGTCACAATTTTAAAGAAAGACGCTAAAGTTTCCATTATAAAATAGAGTTTTTAAAAATATTGAATAAAGAGTAAGAAAATTTTTTAAAGAAAGATGCTACAATTTCCATTCCAAAATGAAGATTATTAAAAGATAGTATTAAATAAAAAGAAAGAAAAAAACAATGAAGACTATTAAAGATAGTATTAAATAAAAAGAAAGACTATTAAAGATAGTATTAAATAAAAAGAAAGACTATTAAAGATAGTATTAAATAAAAAGAAAGATAAAACATGCTGGCTGTGGGGTTCGAACCCACGCGCACTTCAGTGCAGAAGATCTTAAGTCTTCCCCCTTAACCACTCGGGCAAACCAGCTGCGATGCTTTTTAAACAGAGTAATACTTAATTTCACTTTTAGTACCTACTCTATGTGCCATCCCCTGCAAACGAGCTGGATGGATGCAAGGCCTGTAATGAGCCAGCTCGAGTGAATTTGTTATATTAGCGAATTAAAAACTCAGCTTGACTTGACTTGTTATCTGAGCTTGAGCTGACTCCTTTAGCTTATAAGCCAAATAATAAAAATCACACATATAATATATTATATATAGTTATCTAAAACTTGAGAATAGTAATAATATAAAAATAATTTACCATCAACATTAAATCAAATGACACAAATTAACACATACTCACGTGTACAAATACGACCATACATCTTTTTTTCCCTTGACACAGAGTACACCTCCCATTTAGTCTGCAATATCCTTTACACCACATTTGGATGTCAACATTCACGTTTGTAATTTGGAATTGAAAATGGAAGACCCAAATTCAAGTGTTTGGATGGTCAAGGAATTTAGTGTCTGTCGAGTATCAGTATGGATACCTGACAGAAAGAAGCTGATGGCTGCGAACGCTAACGCACCCGGATGGTCAAGAGCATATTTTGGTCTCGCCCGACCCCGAGGGTACGAGCTCCATCTCGTCCGACCCCGAAGGTACGGGCTCCATGTCGTCCGACCCCGAGGGCGTGGGCTCCGTCTCGCCTTACCCCGAGGGAGCGGGCTCCGTCTAGCCAGACCCCTCGGGCGTGGTCTTCGCCTTGCCCGGCCCCGAGGGCGTGGGCTCCCTGTCGCCCGACCCTGAGGGCGCGGACTCCGTCACGCCCGACCCCGAGGGTGCAAGCTCCATCTCGTCCGACCCCTCGGGCACGAACCTCGCCTCGCAAGACCCCTCGAAGGGGGATTCCGCCTCGCCCGATGGGGTCCGTACCGCCTCCAACCACTACGGGTCTAAGAATACGAACTCAGGGTCAAACTTCTGACATCTGAAACGGAGTGGGCGTGTGTTGACGTGACCCGCGGCCACGACGGCCCATGCATGAGGACTCACGTCGCCAACAATATCGGACGTGCCGGCGTTGTTCTACTTAATCCCTGCACAACTTCCGTCAGAGCTACCTGTTGAGCATGCTGCCTGCGCGGGACAGAATGGGACGCCATGACCGGCTGACGACGCCCGCGTGTGGTGTCGGTGGCGAATATGGTCACGACGTGGAGCCATCCCCGTCATCATCCACAGGACCGGCGGGACCCACGTGAAGGAGATGAAGGGCACCGCGACTCCGGAGGCCTTGTTCTCCCTCGCTTTTTTGCTCTTTCTCTTTCTCTCATATAACTTGCGCCTTCCCCTTCATCTATAAAAGGAGAAGCAGGACGCCCCACGAAGGCAAAAAAAAAATGGCTCAATGCTGAAAGGAATTGAGTTCAACTAGACTTAACTCCATTCGATCCATCCATCAGAGACTTGAGACTTTCTCCCTCTCTCGCCCGTTTGTAACCCCTACTACAAACAGGTGTCGGTAACACGAGCAGCCTCGAACTGGACGTAGGGACATTCCGCTCGAACCAGTATAAACCCTTGTGTCCTCTGAGCACACCATCCTGACCAGACTCGCAAACATAAATTTACTAGTTGGCGGACCAACAGTGTCCAAAAACATTCTCCATTCCCGCGTGTTATTCAGCCCAACGAACACACCCCTCGGCGATTCTGAGAAGAGACCCTCCGTATTCCCTGGAAATCGCGTATCCTTGGTTCTCATCTCCTCAACACATGACCACACCCTCGCCTAGTTCTCCACTCTCATATGATGACAGAGTTGGCCCTGCAAATTGGAGCTCCCTAGGATACGTCGGAGCTGCTCGTCACCGGCTCTGCCATCGCGCAGAAGCTCCCTACATCCCACTTCTCTCCTTCCTCAGAGCTCCTGGAAGCCGCGCTGGGGCTACTCGCCGTTGGCTCCCCCGTCACGCAGAAGCTCCCCGTAGCTCTCTTCTCTCCTTCCTTAGGGCCGGTGCACCATATACCTGATCTACATCTATGCCACTCCTGCCGTTGGCGTCCTGTGATTGGAAAAAGAACGACATGGGGCTAGGTTATAGGCATGTACCACATCTACAGACTACAACTCCTTGTCTTCCTCTAGAATTCTGGATTTCAGCGATATAAGTTATGCAGACAACATTTGGAAATGAATTATATCTCGATTGTTTCTGCAATTTCTCATGCCATCTAAACCATAGCATTGGGTTTGAGCCTCATTTCAATTCCCACTCAGTTTTGGTATTGAACCCATTTCAATTCCATATCCCTGAATACTGACATCAAACAGGGTTGAGATTTTTCAATCCAGTGAAAATACCTATGCCAATTTTTTATATTAAAGATAAAATAACCCAGTGAGATTTCACTCGTGCTTTGGGGGACTAAGGCCGTGTTCGGCTGGTTCAAAAATTTCAGACCAGCCGGCTGGTCCGGCTGCTTCTCCTCACATTGCTACAGTGCATCTTTCAACCGCTACAATATTTCTCTCTCACACAACCAACTACTCCAGTGTTTTAGTTTTTTTTTTCAGACCAAGCGAACGGGCCTAAACCGCACAGCCAACCACCCCGCAAGTACTTTCCCGCGCGTACACGCTTCTCTTCCCTTCCCGCGCAGCTCTTGCGCTCCGCCCCCTCCAACTCGTCGAAACCCCACACCGGACCCATTCCATATCCGTACTTCCATTTCTAATCTAATCCAATATTCCTATATTCCCACACCGCCACGCCTGATCTCCGGCCAAACCCTCCCCGCCCGCGCCCCCGCCCACCACCGGCGATGCGGGGCGCCGACCTCATCAACGCGGCGCTCCCCGACGAGCTCCTCGACGACGTGATCCGCCGCGTCGGGGCCGGTGGCGGGGCCAAGCGCGACCTCGACGCCTGCGCGCTCGTCTGCCGCCGCTGGCGCCGCCTGGAGCGCGCCTCCCGCCGCTCCGCGAGGCTCGCCGCGTCCGGGGAGCGCGCCGACGAGGTGTTGCGCCTCGTCGCCGAGCGCTTCACGGCGCTCGCCGAGGTGTCGGTGAACGAGCGCCTCACCGCCGCCGCCTCCGGATCCGGATCCGCCCGCAGATCGTACCGCTCGGGAATGGAACGGGGCCCGTACCGCGCGGGAATGGTACGCCTCGCCTCCACCTTCCCTTGATCCGGGTGCTGGGATCCCCGCGTGCCGCCTCTGCTGCGTCCGTCCGTACGCGAATCGCGACGAAAATGTCGCGTCTTGTGTTGGCGTCCTATTTTTGGGAGAAACATGGCGAATGTAGAGGACCTGTCGAGGAATTGGTGGCACTAATCCCCTAAAAAGACTAGGATTTCGTCCGCTGTGGAACTTCGAGTGCCTAAATCGTTAGGATTTTCCTTGGCTGCTGAGAAATTGCCAGAAATGCTAGAGTGGGAACAACTTTGCTGCATAAGACTGAGACATAACAAACTCATTTAAGTGTCATTCTAGTCCAATTTGTTAGGTTTCTTGAGAAATTCATTCTCGAAGCTATTTAGCTCCCTTGTTACTATGCACTCAGTACTTGTCTTGAACGCAGATTCATATGCCTAATCAGATCCGGCGCCGGAGGAGGCTGCCCCTCGCATCAAATCTTACTCTTCAAATATCCCCGTTCCCATTGGACCAGCCAGTCAGTGATCAAGGGTCTGAGCGCAGCTGTTTGACTGATGTTGGCTTGGGTCATCTTGCAAGGGGTTGCAGAGGGCTTGAGAAATTGAGTCTGGTATGGTGCTCTGCCATATCCTCAACAGGCTTGGTGAGGATAGCTGAGAATTGCAAGAAATTGACTTCTTTGGATCTCCAGGTAATTCCGTATTGTCTATTCTGTGCTTTTGAACTTCACATATCTTTTTGGTTTTCCACCTTGTAGACTCGAAGCATTAGCTCTGTTAACAAAAGATTAATATTTATTGTAGAGTATCCGTGTAATGTTGTATGTGCAATAAAACAATATATATCTGGAAAAAGTTTGATTGAGGTTTTTGCTCCTGGTGAAGCT